ATGGGGTACAGAAATCTATCCTGCCCTACAGGAAAATAGAAAGGGAAGTGGATAAGAGAAGGGGGGGAGAGATAGAAGGGAAGGCAGACTAGGGGAAGGGGTATTCAGAATGCATGCCATCTTGGGGTGGCGGAGGGGCGAGATGAGGTGAAAATTTGGAACTCAAAATCTTATGGAAGTAAATGATGAAAACTAAAAATAAATAAATTTATTAATAATAAAAAAAAGAAAAAAAATTCCATATCTAGTGGAACCAGTCAGATGTACCTGAAGCTAGGAAATTCTAAGGGGGAAAAATACAGAGGAAGAGCATTCCAGGTATGGCAGGATGGCCAGTGAAAAGTCCACACTCAGGTGATGGAGTGTTAGTGTGCAAGGAACAATAAGAAGGCCAGTTTCATGGTATTGTAATGTATATATATGGGAGAACTGGAAGAAGATTTAAAAAGGGAGGAAGAGGCCAGATTGTAAAGGGTTTTTTTTTTTAAAATTATTTATTGGGGGGGTGTTAAGTGACTTGCCCAGGGTCACACTGCTAGTAAGTGTCTGAGGCCTGATTTGAACTCAGGACCTCCTGACTCTAGGTGCTCTATTCACTGTGCCATCTAGCTGCCTCTACCCCCACCCCGCAAAGGGTTTTAAAGCCAAAGAGACGATACTACAATTCATCCTAGAGGTAAGAGGGAACCATTGAAGTTTCCTGGGAAGGCTAAGTAGAGGAGTACCGTAGTCAGACCTGGGCTTTAGAAAATCACTTTGACAGCTGAGTGGAGAATGAACTGAAGCAGAGAAAGAGAGGCAGCTGGTGATACAAGACTGGAGTTCAGGAAAGAGGTTAGGGCTGTTTATACAGATTTGGGGATCATCTACATGGAAATTATACCCATGAGTGCCGATAAGATCACTAAGGCAGATAGTGAGTTCCAAATTCTCTCCTCCCATCCTTTCCCGCCCTCTTCCCTGACATGGCAAGCAATTTGATGTAGGTTATACGTGTGCAGTCGTATAAAACATAGTTCCATATTAGTCATGTTGTAAAAGAAAATATAGACCCCCCCCCCAAAAAAAACCCCATAAAAATGAAGAAAATAAAAAATAATATGCTTCAGTTTACATTCCCTGTCAGTTCTTTCTCTGGAGATGGATAGCATTTTTCATCATAAGTCCTTCAAAATTGTTTTGGATTTGTATTACTGAGAATAGCCAAGTCATTCACAGTTGATCATTATATGATGTTGCTGTTACTGTGTACAATGTTCTTTTGGTTCTGCTTACTTCACTTTGCATCAGTTCACATAAGTCTTAACAGGTTTTTCTTTTTTCTTTTTCTTTTTTGTATTTTTTTTTTCCTTTTTAGGCAGTTGGGGTTAAGTGACTTGCCCAGGGTCACACAGCTAGTAAGTGTCAAATGTTTGGTCTGAGGTCGGGTTTGAACCCAGGTCCTCCTGACTTCAGGGCCGGTACTTTATCCACTGCACCACCTAGCTGCCTCTTTAACAGGTTTTTCTGAAAGCATCTTGTTCATCATTTCTTACAGCACAGTAGTATTCTGTCACAGTCATATACAACAACTTGTTCAGCCATTCCCCAGTTGATTGGCATTCCCTCAATTTCCAGTTCTTTGCCACCACAGAAAGAGCTGCTTTAAATATTTTTGTTCATATGGGCCTTTCTCTCCCCCAACCCTCCTGCCCTGCCTTTGTTTTTTTTTTTTCTTTTTTTTTAATCTCTTTGGGATGCAGATGTAGTAGTGTTATTGCTGGGTCATAGGGTATGCACAGTTTTTTGGCCCTTTGGGCCTAGTTTGAAATTGTTCTCCAGAATGGTTGGATCAGTCCATAGTTCCAGTTTTCCCACATCCCCTCCAGCATTTGTCATTTTCCTTTTTTATCACGTTAACCAATCTGATAGATATGAGATGGTACCTCAGAGTTGTTTTAATTTGTATTTTTTTAATCAATAGTGATTTAGAGCATTTTTTCATATGATTATAGATAGCTTTGATTTCTTCATCTGAAAACTGCCTGTTCAAGTCCTTTGACTATTTATCAATTGAGGAGTGACTTGTATTCTTATAAATTTGATTCAGTCCTCTATATATTTGAAAAATGAGGCCTTTATCAGAGAAACTTGCTGTAAATTCTTCTCCCCATCCCCCCAGTTTTGTGCTTTCCTTCTAATCTTGGCTGCATTGGTTTTGTTTGTGCAAAACTTCATTTAATTTAATTAAAATTATTTTACATCCCATAATGCTCTTAATCTCTTTGGTCTTAAATTCTTCTGTTATCCATAATCTGACAGGTAATTATTCCTTGCTCTCCTAATTTGTTTATGGTATCACCCTTTATGTCTAAATCCATTTTGACCTTATCTTGGTGTGCGATGTGATATGTTGGTCTATATCTAGTTTCTGCCAAACCGTTTTCCGGTTTTCCCAGCAGTTTTTATCAAATAATGAGTTATTGTCCCAAAAGCTGGGATCAAAAAAACCATTTATCAAGCACTAGTTTATTATGGTCATTACCTGCTATGTATTGTGTACCTGTCTTTTCCAGTTGTCCACCACTCTTATCCCTTAGCCAGTACCAGGTTGTTTCGATGATTATCACTTTGTAATACATTTTGAGTTCTGGAGTTGCTAAACCATTCTCCTTCACATTTTTTTTTTCATTAATTCCCTTGATATTCTTGACCTTTTGTTCTTCCAGGTAAATTTTATTATTTATTATGCTAGCTCTATAACAATAAATTTTTGATAGTTTGATTGGTATGGCACTGAATATATAAATTAATTTAGATAGAATTGTAATTTTTATTATATTGGCTTGGCCTGATTATGAGCAATTAATAATTTTCCATTTGTTCAGATCTGACTTTATTTGTGTGAAAGGTGTTTTGCAGTTCTGGTTTTGTCTTGGCAGGTAGACTCCCGAGTATTTTATATTGTTTATAGTTATTTTAAATGGAGTTTCTCTTTCTATCTCTTGTCCAGCTTAATTTTTTTTAGCCTTACCTAGTATTGATCCTCTTAGTGTGTTATATCTTGCAACCAAACTGGGCTACTTTCTGCCGCCTGTTCTTGACCTGTCCATTCCCTGTTTTTCCTCTTTTCCCTCCCAGTTACCCATGCTCCTAACCTAAGTGTCATCTTTGATTTCTCATTCTCACTGCCCATAGTCTATTGCTAAATCTAACATTGCCAACAACTCTTATATAAGATTCCTTCTCTTCTCTGACATTGCCACCACTGGTGTAGGCCTTCATTGCCTTACACACCTGGATTATTATAGTAGCTTTCTGGTTTTTCTCTCTGCCTCAAGTTTCTCCCCACTGTAGTCCATCCTTCGTTCAAGCTGTCAGTGTTCTTCCTAAAGTATAGGTCTGACCATGTTCCCTATTCAATAAACTCCAATAACTTCCTATTACCTCCAGGATCAAGTATAAAATCCTCTGTTTGGCATTCAAAGCCTTTTTTAACTAGGCCCCTTCTGGCCTTTCCAGTTTTCTTACATTTTATTTTTCTTCTCTTCCTCTCGAATCCCACAGTGTTTTTCTTCAATCCATTGACCATGCTGTTCTTGAACAAGGCGCTTCATTTTATCAACTGCTTGCATTGTTATTGCCTGCTCACAATGCCTGGAATTCTCTCCCTCCTTATCTCCATGTCCTGGTTTTTCTAGCTTTCTTCAGGTTCCATCTAAAAATCCTTTCTACAGGAATCCTCTCCTGATCTCCTTTAATGCTAGGGCCTTCCCTCTGTTGATTATTTCCAATTTTTTCAGTCTTTATCTTGTTTGTATGTAGTTTTTTAGCATGTTGTCTCCCTCATTAAACTGAGATCCTTGAATGCCTAGACTGGTTTTTCACTTTCTTTGTATCCCTTGTGCTTAGCATAGTGCTTGGCATAGAATAGGAGCTTAATAACTACTTGTTGATTGACTTATGAACTGTTTCTCATTCATCCCCTATCTCAGCTGTGAAAGGAGGGAGCAGCATTTTCTCTCCTCTTCTAAGTTTAGTCATGGTGATTAGACATCATCAAACACCATTTTCATGACATACCTCTCCTGACATACTTCTTAAAAATCTGTAGAGGCTCTCTATTTAACCTGCTTCATCAGAGATGACAACGATCAAATGGGAAGGTGTGGAGAATAGTTTATTAGCTATGCAGTGCTGGGCACATGGATGATGCTAAGTAAATACTTCAGAGTCACAGAATTTTAGAAGGGGGAATTTAAAGATTATTTAGCTCCGTCCTTCATTTCATAGACTAGGACACGAGATCCATACAGGTTAAGTGACTTGTTGCAAATAAATGACTTTCAAGATTCTCACTTGCATGGTGGGAATTACTGGAATGTTTTTGCCTTTAATCGTTTGCACTGTTTTAGATTCTGAGAGCCTCTTAGAAAGGAAACATTCTTTTCAGAAATTATTTCTGTGACTTAAGTCTTTCAAAATAGGACGTGCCTTTTTTTTGGTGAGGCAGTTGGGGTTAAGTGACTTGCCCAGAGTCACACAGCTAGTGATTGTTATGTGTCTGAGGGCAGATTTGAACTCAGGTCCTCCCGACTCTAGGGCCAGTGCTCTATTCACTGCATTGCTTTAATCCCATTATCTTTATTTAGTTGTGCTTTGGGAAATACCTATGTGAGTTTGTGTTTGGAGTCACAGGTATCTAATGCAATGGCATAGGCCTATAACTTATAATGTATTTGTACTTGGCCATGTAAACTTGGTCAAATAGGTACCATATGTGATGTTTAGAATTTTTTACTTGTTCCAGAATATAGCTAGAAGCAATATTTGTTGGCATATCCATGAATATTTTGAAGAAAGAAAACATTTCTTTATATTTAAGGATTTTTAAATAGATTTTAGGTGAAAGTATTTATTCTAGTAGAACTTTGATTTTCTGATTTCTCCTTAAATAAATGGCTGACTGAATAGGCATCTTTTTAATGGTATTTTCTTTTTTTGTTCAATTTCAAATATAGACCGTGGACATTCATAAAGAAAAAGTGGCTCGGAGAGAGATAGGCATTTTGACAACAAATAAGAATACATCCAGGACTCACAAAATAATAGCACCTGCAAATATGGAACGTCCTGTAAGGTACATTCGAAAACCTATAGACTATACAGTATTGGATGATGTGGGCCATGGTGTTAAGGTAAGCATTTCTATAGACTATATGCATTAGTTTGCATGTTGTTCAGAATTTTTAAGATGATACAAATTACAGTGATGGTTTTACTAGAGAGTTATTAACAATAAGTTCATGGGTAGTATGAAATGCAGAATACTTTGGAGAGTAATTCACTAATTTGATTGACTAGCTCTATTTATTTATATTGGGTTATGTTGCTATTATGGTTCTAATATTTATGAATTTCATTTTGCCTTGGATTACTTGTCAAATACACATTTTAAAAATAAATGACATAGCTCATGTTTATAACAAAGGGGCCTGTGTAACTTTTAATTTGTTGTGCCAGGTTTTCACCCTTCTTTAGTATGTTTTTGTATTGTTAAGGAAACATGGTGATATGATAGATGCATCATGTCAATTATTTATCTACCTTAACGTTGTTTTCTTTTTACTAAAAAAAATTTAGGGGAGAGATTATTGGAATGAATTCCCTTGCCAACCATACACATTTCTTTGGTGGGAAAACAAAATCAAAATTAGGTGCTCAGAGGATTAGGTTTCTGATAAATTATTCATCATTTTATGGCATTTTGAAAGAGAATGATTTTTTGCCAATTTTTGCTCAGAATAGAATAGCCCTGTATAATTTTAGAGCCTTTTCCTACAGGGCCATTTTTTGGCCTTGATTTCCAGGTGATTAGGTCAGGCCAAATTAGATTTTTTTCAGGGTTTATATGTTTTCTCCTAGAACTGGGTGCCTAACTACTAGACTAGGAACCTGTGGTAGAATTTGAAGACTTATCCGGTAGATTTCCTGTCTTATTTCCTCTGCCGCATGTAGTTTGTCAAGATTTCCAGTGGGTATTCCCCAAAGCTGACAGTGAATACTACCCTGTCCTTCATTTTGCACAATATTTTCCCTGTCCTAACTTAAGGACTAACAGTACCCTCGACCACAACTACCACTATACTAGTCGTCTCACTGTATTAGAAAAGTGAAAAGTCACTCCTTCTCACAAAGTTGGGGATCCCTCGCTGTAATGCCCTTTTCAATACTTTTATTTGTAGCACCTTCTATCCCTTATCCCTCCTCAACCATGAACAGCTGCTCTGTGTCCCACCCATTCCTTCCCCATCAATGCTAATATATCTATATGATGGCAGCAATCGTAGATCTGGTAGTTTATAATTCCAAACTTTTAATAATTGTTTCTGTGGATGATGCAGTCAGACATCTTTGTATTTAATAGTAGTATGATCAGGACTTCATATAAATAAATTCTACATTCCATTTATATCATTTTTCAGACTTTGATTTAGGTAAAAATTTCACCTTGTATAGAAACTGGAATTAATCTTCTTACTCTCCAGTAAATTGTTTCTTATTGTCCTTGGCTGAAAGTTCTTTTTGTTTTTATAACCTAGAGGTCTTAATGGAAACTATCTACTTCCAGTCAGTTAAAAAAAATTCATTATAGAAATGAGTGCTTTCTGTAAATCTAATGGGATGATTTGAATATTTTTGATGTGTATGTCTTATTGACGGACTCAAACTATATTCACTCTGTAGGTATTATTTTATATTGCACTTGACTCTTTTACCATGTAGTCAGATTTGCGTTTAAAAACTTCCATATAAAGATGATATAACTTGTAGTAGCTCTGGAGTAAATCAGCTGTTTGTTAGCATTGTGTTCAATTTGAGGCTAATATACTTCAGAACTGTACCATATATTAAAGAACTCAGTTCATGATTATCGAAGTTGGTTCAATTAAAAAACATTTTTGAAGCTCTATTTTCAAAGCACTTTATTTATTGTAGGGAGAGTTTAGGGATGATGTAGTCATTAGATCAAGAGCTAAGAAGAACCTCAAGACTAATCTTAGCCCTTCATTGTACAGTTGAGTAAACTGAGGGCCAGGTAAATTAAGAGTTTTGCCCAAGATCATGCAAGTAGGATCAGAGGTGAATCTGGAAACCAGGTCCTCCAACTCTAGAGCCAAAGTCTTTTCCATTGTACCAGTATGCTGTAGGTCTACCCCTCAGGAAAGTTATTGTTTCTAAAGAGGGGATAAGAGTATACAGATGAAACAGAAAACAATCCATAAGTAAATAAGAGAAGCTCTCAAATAAAGTGAAGTGGCAGTAGGGGGCAGACATTTCTAACTGAGCTGGAAACTACATTTAAGCTAGGCTAATTTAGGCTGCTAAAGAATTTAGCAGGTTAAGGGAAGGCTGTTTGAGAAAGAGTGGGCAGATACTGCGTGGGAGGTGAAGTGTGGGCAGTAGACTGAGGAGAGCAGTTCTTGCCTGTGTGTTTACTTTGTGATTCTTTCAGCTTGTCATGCAAGTAGCACCTCATTTCTTTTTTGTTCCTGTTCTTCTATCGTTTTGTCCAGTTCCTGTTTTCCTGAAAGTTAATTTTGAGCTATCCTCAGTCTTAAGGGCTCATTATTAATAAATGTGAAGACCCAGAAAGCATGTGCTAATCAAGCAGATGTCAGGTCTTTCCTTAAGCAGTTGATGTATCTCCCTCTACTCCTCTTCAAAAAACCCAAACTAAACAAAAAACCAAAGCCACAACATTTTTTTCATTTAATGATGTTTATGTTTAAATTTAGGGACTAACTAACAGTAGACATTTAAATTCTTTTTATGTTCATTTTTATCCATAAAATAAAGATTCACTGTTTAAATAGTTTTTTTTAATATTACTTTGACCTCTTTCCCTAGGCAGAAAAAGTATATATAAGAAGCAAATGCCTCTGTTTGGAATGTAAAGCCCTTGACAGCCTACTATTCTAGCCTTATATATCTTATATGTATCTTGCTCATATTACTACACTCTCTGGTCTGGCAAAACTGATCATCTTAAGTATTCCTCATATGTGGAACTCCATTTCCTGTCTCTATGCTTTGGCTTTGCCTAATGTGCATTTCTTCCCCCACCTCACTACTCAGCTTCTGCAAGAAAACTTTTCTGATTCTCCTCAGCTGCTAGTGCCTTCCTCACTACCTTGCCTCTTTATATTCCTGTATGTGTGAAAACACATATGACAATATGTATGCATACATACATATGTATGTCTAGAGAGAGGGAGAGAGAGGAAAAAAATCTGTCTTTCCTGATGGATGATAAGCTTCTCGAGGAACTTGACTATTGAGTATGTACTTAATGTGCACTGAATAAATGCTTATTGATTGGTTGAACAAATACATAATTTCTTTTTAAATTTGAGGAAGCCAGCAACTATTCTGAATAAGCATTTTCCCTTCTGACATTCTTATTCCCAGGCCTTTCCTCCTCAGGGAATATAAAGTACTTTTAAGAACATTTTTTCCCATGGAAAAATTGCAATGAAATAAATTTAAAGTGAAGATCATTTGTGAGCTATTGGATCTTGCAGGGTCCTAGTTGTCTGAAAATCAGCCATTAAAAAATCCATATTCAGGGGCAGCTACGTGGAGTCAGGAGGACCTGAGTTCAAATCTGCCCTTAGACACTCGATACTTACTAGCTGTATGACCCTGGGCAAGTCACTTAACTCCATTGCCTAGGGTTCACCCCCCCCAAAATAAATCAATATTCTTAACTGCAAGTAAACTATAGAGGCTAATTAAAAATTTTGTTATACCCTCCTATTAAATTATATCATTATTATTTTGAGTTCTTGTGAACTCCAGGCTATCTTGAAAAATTAAATGAATCAAAAATTTTCAATTAAGACACTTTATTTTGCTTCAACAGTTACTTTAAGTAGGGTATTTCTATAAGAAATTTCTAGTTGAAATTTATCAGGGAGTAAATTTGGTCAGTCTGTGTGATCCAAGGCAAGATACTTTACTGTCTCAGCACAACTCTGTAAGACTCTCTAAATTACATGCGTGACATCTGTAGATCTGTCTTGGTAAAGGGAATTTGTTCTCTTGAGAGTTCCTCACACCAATGAAATCACAAATTCTGACCAAAAATATGGGTCATTCAGTAAACATTTATTAAGCACCTGCTGTGTGCCAGGTACTGTACTAGATGCTGAGGATTAAAAAAAATAAAACAATCTTTAATGTGGAGATTAAGGACATAAATAAGCATATGAATAGAATAAACACAAAGTAGTTAAATACCAGGTTTGGGCCACATACTACTGGTAATGAATTCTGGGAAAGGAATTTAAATCTGATACTTGGGTTTACTTTTTCCCCCTTCATTATATAAATGTTTATTATTGTCAGTGCGTAGATATTGTAAACTTATAAAAAAATCAAAAGAACCCATGTGTTTTTTTGGGAGAGCATTTTATCTGGATCCAAACATGTTCAATTTCTTGTGATCTGGAATTCAGCCTTCTTTATTCAGCATTCTCTTGACAAACCCTGATACTTGAGTCACCTTTAAGCTATACTTAAGATTATTAAAAGGCATGAATACCAAATATAGGTATTCAGTTATATTCATTGACTTCATTAGCATAGAAATAATACTTGGTGCATCTCAATGAAACAAGTCATTCCCCTACCCCTTTCTTTCTTCTCTGGTGGAATATAAATGACTGAGAATTTCCCTTAGGCATAATTTGTTTCATAGTCTGTAGCACTCAGAGAGAGTTTTAGAGAGCTTTGTGGAGACTGTGTCTTAGGGGGGAAAACACTCATCTCTAGAGTAAGGCTTGTTAATGTGAAAATTTGGGACCAAGAATGAACATTGATGCCATTACTTCCTCCAGCCTCTGGCTTCTGTCTTTCTCTTTGGCCAACCTCATGGTAGCCTTTTAGCTCTAATTATTGTTGCCTTCTGAAAACAACATCCTTTTAGCTCTAATTATTGTTGCCTTCTGAAAACAACATTCATTCGTTCAGTAAGCTTTTGTTAAGGGCTCTTTATGTATTTGGCATTGTAGGTGATAAGACTCATGGAACTTATATATGAACCAACTAGAGAACAATTCAAGATCACACTCTCACCAACCCCCCCCCCCCCCCCCCCAAAACAACAACAACAACAACAAAAACAAAAACAAAACCAAGAAGTGGTACCTTGGGGGCAAAAGCACTAGACTGAACCTGCAGAGGATTCTCATTTTCAATTCTGCCTCTGCCAGTCAGGGATAAAAATGTGCAAAGAAGAAAGCGCTGCAGTTTCTCACTTTTCTAGATCTGTCAGAGGTTGTATTAGCTGACAGAGGGCCCTTGGAGTCACTGTGTCTGTAAGCATTTGGTAAGCACATACTGTATGCCAGGCACTGTGCTAAGCACTAGAAACAAAAAGAAAGTAAAAAGAAAGCCTTTGCTCTCAAGTTGTTCACAGGCTGAAGGGGGAGACAGCATGCAAATAGCTATGTTTGGATGACATATAGACAGGATAAATAGGAAACAGTCAACAACAACAAAGGGAAGGCATAAAATTAATCAGGATTGGGAAAGGCTTCCTGTAGAAGGTGGAATTTCACTTGGGACTTGAAGGAAGGTGGGATAGGGAGATAAAGTGGGAGAGCATTCCAGTCATTAGAGATGGCTGGTTAAAATACATGGAGTTAGTATGTGGAGTGCTTTGTTAAAAGAACAGCAGGAAGGCCAGGATCAGTGGAAGAAAATAACTTTAGTGGCTGAATGGAGGATGGACTGGAGTGGAGAGAGACTTGTGGCAGGCAGACCCCCCCCCCCCCCCACCTGCCAGGTTATAACAGTAGTTTATGCATCAGAAAATAAGGCCTGTACCAGGCTGGTGGCAGTATCAGAGGAGAGAAGGAAATATGTTCAAGATATATTGAAAAGGTGATATGGACAGTCTTTGGCAACAGATTGGATTTGGCAGATGAGAAATAGGAAGGAGCTGAGGATGATACCTAGGTTGTGGTCCTGGGGGACTAGGAAAATGTTGGCATCTTTGATAGTAATAGGGTAAAGATTAACAGTTCAGTTTTGGACATACTGGGTTTAAAATGCCTACAGCAGTGGTGTCAAATTCAGATGGAAATGGATCCCTGAAGGTACATATTGACTTAGAAAAAAGATGTGATTTTTCTATTTTTATTTTGTTAAACATTTCCCAATTACATTTTAATCTGGTTTGGCCTGTGCCTGGGGTTTTTGCAGGCCAGACTGGGAGTTTGACACCTCTGTTCTATAGGACATCCAGTTTGAGATGTCCGGTAGACAGTTGGAGATTGGAGACTGGAGGTCAACAGAGAAGTTAGGACTGTATAAATATACTTGAGAATCAGAAGCAGATGAATAGAGATGATAATTGAACCTATAGGAGCAGATGAGGTCATCAAGTGAGGTATAGTATGGAGGGTTGGAGGAGAATAAGGGGAGAACAGAGTCCCAAAAACCTAGAGAGAAGAGCATATCGAGGAGTAGAGGGTAATCAACAATGTTAAAGGCTGCCAGGAGGTCAGGGAGGAGCAGGTTTGGGGAAAGGCAGTTGGATTTGGCCACTAAGAGATTATTGGTAACTTTGAAGAACAATTTCAGTTGAGGTCAGACACTAGTTTGCTGACAGTGAGAGGAGAGGAAGTAGAAGCGTCCTCTGTATCCATGGACAAGTCTCTTATTAATCTGTCGATGCCCAGGGTAGTAGCTCTTTGAGACTATAAATTACAGATAAATTGCCAAACTGCATTGTAAAGAGTATTTCCAGATTGTGAGTTCCTCCACATGAATAAATAGATTTGGATCCTTACAGTTATTATAATGTCATCCTAGTAATGTTTATCCCCAAGTATCCAAATTTAAACTAAAAATTTCTATTTTTAGGGAGAAATATAGAAGTTCAGTAGTATTCGATACCTCTTTTCTTTTATCAAAAATCCATTGTATTTACTAAAAAAGGAATATACAAGGTATAACATTCCTGTTTTTGGAATGTATCCAAATTATTCTTGCCTTTATGGTTGTTTGGAGTATGACAGTTCTATATGTAGTTTGATATGTTTATAGTGAGAATTCTTGGCTTTTAAAAAATAAAATTGCATGGAGAAGTTAAGGTTTCTAATTCTAAAATCCCAAGACTCTTCTCTGTGTATAGTTTAAATTGAGTTCATCACGTCTTCCTATGTTGCAAATAACAATGCCTTTTCTTTAATCTTGAACTTTCACTGAAGATGGTCTGTTGTAATGAAGAGAACAAGAACTCAAGCAGCTAACAAACATTAGTTTAATTCCCTACTAATTTGACTAGAACAGATTTGAAACCTAGAGGGGAGGGGGTCTTTTAAACCTTATGTGATTCAGATATTTGGATGCAGTATCTTATGTATGAGTATTTAGGTGTAGTTACCCAGTTGATATTACTTCTCATCTATGGAAGCAATATCATTCTGCAACTGGCACTAAATTTGGAGTCGTGGGTACTTACAAACTTGGCTTTCCAATATTAACTAAATGGCTAAGCACTGTCAAGAATATGATGTATTGACATACTTGGTATTTAGTTGCAAGTTATGATGAACACACTTATGTCATAAGTATTTTGATCTATAACTTAGTGGGATGAGGTTTATATAAGATCTGTTTAGGCTAAGGTTTTGTTTCCATGAGACTGTTGGATTGAACTGCTCACCTAATTAGTTAATTCTGTCACCAGTTTTTAAAAATAAACTTGTTTATTACTGAATTGTATTTGAGTGAATTGAGTTAGTCAAGTGGTTTTGGCCTCATATAGATATGTCCATGTTAAAAAAAAAATGAATTTGTCTGGTGCCCACTATAATTTCCTTCTTCTTATGAGTACTTTACAACTTAGTTGTAGGGTATTTGGAATGTAATTACATAATAAAAATTAACTGTAACTTTGAACCTGTCCTATTAGATGTGATCTATCTGGAATTAATTTTTACCTTTTTCCCCCCTTTTTTTGCCAACGTAAAGTGGCTAAAAGCCAAGGTAAGAGCAGTTATTTCTCATTTGATCCAGTGTCCCCTCTATTGATAAAGGCTGCAAAGCCACTAAAATTGAAAATGCTCTTGTACATCTCTTTGCTTTTTCCTAGGTTATGTAGAATAAACATGCTCAGTTTAAATTCAAATCAGCAACATGTGTTAATATATCAAAGATATATTAACATCTGCCTTTATATAGATACTTCCATTTCTCTAACATTTAATGCTTTGCTCATATTTGATAGATGGATGCCTTGCTCTTATTGACTTACATTTTAGGAGGCTTCCCCGACATTGCATGTAACATTTCTTATTTTCATCCAGAGAAATGAAGAACAAAATATTTGAATGAAAGTAGAAATATGAGATCATCTTATATTTCTGAGTATTTGAAGACCTAGTACTGGAATGAAAAATACTGGTATGAAAGCTAATTTAGTGACTTTTAAAAAGTGTTTCAACCATTAATCTCTATTGAACTTTAAACATCTATAAATGGAATTAAAAATAACAGTGGAAACAGAACCCCAAAGTTTAATTTTTGGTGTTATAATTTTCCCCTTGGTTTTCATCACGTTTACTTACTAAAATGTGCTTTTCAAAATTGTCTGGGAAGCCTTACTTCACATCCTTACATTAAAAAATAATACTTGAGTGTCAAAATACCAAGAGAACAGTTTGATATGAAAATAAAAGCCTTTCCTTCAATATTTTAGCATGGAAATAACCAGCCTGCAAGAACTGGCACACTGTCGAGAACAAATCCACCTACACAGAAACCGCCAAGCCCTCCTATGTCAGGCCGGGGAACATTGGGGTAAGAATTCAGCTACTTATTATTACTTCTGAAAGGAATTGAGAGTACTGAGTGAATGGATGTTAGTGTAGGGTAAACCCTGCAATAAGTAAATATACTAGAATCCTGTACTTGAATCTTGATGGCCTTGGGAGCCACATCCTGGAACCACCTTGTCATCTAAAGGCAGCTTTAGTGCAATGGATAGAGCTCTGGACCTGGAGTCAGGAAGACCTCAGTCCACATCCCACCTCAGATACCGAGTAGTTGCATGACCGTGGGCAAGTCATTTAACCTCTGATTGCCTCAGTTTCTTCAGCTGTAAAATGGGAATAGTAATAGTGCTTGTCTCCCAGGATTAATGTGACGATCAAATGAGACATGTTTGTAAAGCTCATTGCACAGTACCTGGCACATATTAGGTGTTACATAAATGCTACCATCACCGTCATCATTATTATTATTATGTACTTTTGGTGTACTTCATTAAGGTCCCTTTGATCGGACTCTAGATGGCACAGTGTAATATCCCTTTGTGCACAGGAATTAAGGTTATTTGTAGGTAAAATATTTTCTGTATTTCAGTCTGTCTTTGGTTTGTTGTAAACAAAGTGGTTTGCTTTCATAAATGTATGTGATATTTCTATGCTAAATCTTTTGGGCAAGTATTCCTTATAATAGATTTGCATTTTATATTTCTTAGTTTTTAAAGTTAAGTTAAAACATTTCAGTTAGGATTCTCTCTTGGAATGCTTGTAGAGCTTCAGGATATATAGGTACTTTATTTTTCTTCTGCCTCTCAACTTTTTTGAGTATAAGCATGATGCTGGTTGTGTTTAACTTCTTTGATTCCCAAGTTAATCAGAACTAAGTTGTCTCAGTTTGATTTCTCTTTGTTCAGCCTTTTTTTCAGGACTGATGTTAAAAAAATTGTTTTTCATCACAGACAATTTGTCTACCTCCCACGTTTGATTTTAATTAAACTTCACATAGCACCTTTTCTTGGGGGTAAGAGATAATGATTAATAAGACACAGCACCTGCGTTCATGGAGCTTATGGTACAAAATAGAACAAGATAGCTACACAGGAAAGGTACAAAGTGTTAGGTGAGGCCTAATGAAAAAGGGATCACCTTTCTCCACCCTGAGGGGGTGGACTAGGAAAAACTATGGAGATGGCATAAATGTAGGTGCTGCAAGAGAGTTAGGACTGTCTAAATCCAAACTCAGTTTTGTTTACTTAATGATTTTTCAAATTTGTTTTATTGAATTTTCTTCTTGGACAGTGGATGAAAAGAATGTCATATCAGACTATCTAATAACTCTTTAGGAAATAATTATTTCTCAAGGCTCTTCTGCTGACTTTCTGACCTTGTATAAGGCAGTTTAACCTCTTTCTACTTTGGCTTGTCATCTGTAAAATGGAAATTTTACTTGTCCTGCCACAACCCTACTTATCCTACTGCTTTTGCAATGGTGTTCTCAAAAAGGAAATACTGTATGTGAAAACAATTTGCTGTCTTAGGAGAAAAGGTGCTTCATTACTCACCTGATTTTACATTTTAAAAAATTTTTTTAATATTTAATTTTGATTTAAACTCTTTTGAATTTATTGACCACATTGTATCAGCAAAGCATCAAATGGGATCTGAAATACTGAATAACCTATTTGGACTCCAATCTATATGTAACTTCTTTAATTCATAATTTTTACAACATTGGCTATTATAAAATATTGTTATTGATGGATAACATTTGTCAGTAAGCCTCTGCTGACTCTTTAAAATAATTCAAAATCTTCATCCTTTTCTTAAGCCACGTAACCCCATTAGGGGAACTTTCAGATTCATTTCCACAGATATTTGAGTGACTACTTTGTACTTAGGGTCATTGTCAGTGGCAGTGTTTTCAAAGGTATATACTGAAGTATAAATGAAGCAGGCATGTGTGTGCGCGCTCGTTTTAGAACCTGGCTTTTTGGAGATATACAGGTATGTATAACTGTTGTATTGCCTGGATTCTGTTTTCTCTGAATTACTTCAGATCTCAGCTAAAATACCACCTTTTACAAAGCCTTTCTCAGTCCCCCTTAATACTGGTGCCTTCCCTCTGAGATTATTTCCAGTTTAGCTATCATTTGTTTAACCTTCATCTTGTTTGTACTTTGTTTGCATATTTTCTCCCCCATTAGACTATGAACTGCTTAAGGTCAGGGACTGTTTTTACTTTTCAGTGCTGTAAAGCACAGTGCCTGCACATAGGAAGCACTTAATAATTGCTGCTTGATTTGACTCCATTTGATCACAGAGCTTGGGAGCTTGCTTGCCCAGCCTCTCCCCAATTGTATTTTGGTGTGGCCAGCATAGATTTGCATCACTTGGAAGGTGTTAGTTGTCTTTTGCCTGTTGAGAGAGTTATCCGAAAGCAACCAACTTGATTCCTAGAGTTTGAGATCTTTGCCCTAAGAATTGAGTTGTTTTTAGTAATTTTAGTAAATCAATAGTATTATTGTCTACAGAGTTAAAATACATTTTATTAATCACTTTGTAACTTTTTACTGTTTTAATATAAATCAATAAAATCACATTCTGATTTGAAGTAAAACTCTCTTCATTAAATCTGTTTTCTCATTCATATTATACAACATTTTGTGTTCTGTTTTGCTTTTTAGGCGGAATACTCCTTACAAAACCCTGGAACCTGTTAAACCCCCAACGGTTCCCAATGATTATATGACAAGTCCAGCCAGGCTTGGAAGTCAGCATAGTCCAGGAAGGACAGCATCTTTAAATCAGAGACCAAGAACACACAGGTACGTCAGCTTGTGAAAACGAAAACTGAATATAATGAAAAAAGAACAGCTAAAATACACTGAGTAAACATGAAGTATTCCGACAAGACTTGTGCAGAGTGTATCAGTAAAAGGAGATATACTGCATGTTTCAACCATTTGCCTAAATTGGTACTGCTTTTTAACTTTTCTAGATCTATCAACAATATTATCCAATGTTTTGTTAACTTTTTTAGAAAATTAAATATAATTTTTAAAAGTTTGGATTGAGGTAAAAAAATCAGATACTACTTCAGATATTTTTAGATGCCAGGGAATGGCAAAATGTCAGAAAACTTCAGTACTGTTAGAGAAGGGGATTAACTCAGAAGATTCCCTTTGGTTTTTGCTGGCAACCAAAAATCCCTGTTTAGTTTTTAGTGCCTGAGAGGCGGTGGAAAATTTACTGTGTTGCTTTTGAGGGTCTTAGTTATGTATAATGAGTTAGTAAGTATCTTATGTCTTAATATGATTCCTTACCTTTGTCTAACTTAGGGGGTAGTTGGTTGGATTTGTTTTTAGTTCATTATTGTGTTGCAGTTTGCAGAAATAGCAGATATGTTAAGATTTAGTATGAGTCATAGTTGTCTGCCTCTTCATTTTCACCCATTTGAGTGTCATAGCAGGAAGGGGAAACCCTCATCTGCAGAAGAGGTAGTAATAATGCTCATCAATGTAGCCTGACTTTTTTTCTATTTTGCTAGAATCTTATGTTACATTGGATGGGAAAATAGAACTTTCTTCTTCTTCTACAACAAACCTTTGATATCTATTTTGAATTTTTAAGCAAATTTTAAAGCAGATTTCCTGGTAATTTTTACTACTTAACATAAAATCTAAGTTAGTTGTAACATGTTTTAGGAAATAGTTGAAGTGGCAAAAAGCTCGACTCTTTAACTTCCAGTTGATGAGATGTCTCTTGTCACTTCACATATATGAGCTTCAGTTTGCTAATCTGTGAAGAGGGGTTTCATCCAGATACCCTGCGAGGTCTCTTTACATTCTGGGGCCTGTAAGCCTGTGGTCTGGGTGGGAAAGTACAAATTCCCAAGTCTTCCCAGGTACCTTTGTGGCTTTGTGAAAGTCCTTCAACTTTTCTAGGCCTAATTTCCTCATTTTTAAAATGAGGAAGGTTGGACTTGCTGACTGTCAGGGCAGGCCTTTCCACCTCTAAGTCTGTGATCCTATTGGCAAAATATCACTCTTCAGAAACCAGACAAAATGGTCTCAGTATAGTATACTTGTTTTGTTTATAAATCCATTTTCATAGGTATTGACAGCCTGACATCAACTACATGAAGATGTGGTTACATCTTCTTAAGGCTTTTAGTTAAGTCCAACGAGGGATTCATTTTAGTTGTATTCCTCATGCAAATATTCTCTGTTTCTTGGCCTGCAGACTGCTAATTGCACAGGGATTGTTGTCTCTGGGCTTCATTCTTAGAGAATTACTTATTGCAAATAGTTGGCACCCTACCATTTGTAGAACTATTTTGTCTCTTTTTAAAATGAATTGACTACAGAATATGCATCTGTATTCCCTGCAGAGAGGTGATCAATACTATATGTTGGCCAGAAGCTCAAAAGCTAAAAGAAACCCACCCTTGGCTCTAATCCAACTCCCTTATTCTACAGATGAGAAGACTGGCACAGAGAATTCCAAGGTCACATTATTAAGAATCAGAGTGACGATTCAAACCCAGGTCCTTAGAATGAGCTTTGAACCTTAATGTAAAATATGGAACTTTTTTTTTTTTTAAATAATTGAATATTCCTTTTTGACATATTTTTGAAATTTGCTTTTAATTAAGCAGTTCCCACACTGAGTAAATGGGCATCTCAACAGTTTAACTGCCAGTTCCATTGATAGACATTTGTCTTATGCTCTTGAAGCATGTATTATTGTTATTATTGCCTGCTGTCATATGCATTAGGCATGAAAGACTCTTCCTAGAACATATTGTTATCATGATAAAAAGTAGAAGGAAGGTCAGTTGTGGTAATTGATCTGTTTGGCCATTGAGTTGGTTCAAATCTAGCGGACTGGGATAAAGATTTTGTGTTACCTTAATGTTATGAAGAGATAACTTGATTTCTCCTTTTGTACTGCTTGCTGTGATGTATTTAGTTTTCCTCGACATTTTTATTTCTATAATTGTCACCTCTGTTTTTTGGCATGTATTGAAATGAATGTATTAAATTCGTATACCAAGATGACTTCCAATGGTAATTATGATTAATATATTTTATCTTTGTCTGAATACAGTGTCTTGATTCATCCACTTTGAAAACTTAACAAAAATAGGGAAACCAGAATAACTGTTTTCAGAATCAGAATCACAAAATTTCAGAAGCAGAAAGAGTCCTATAATCTAACGCAAGCCTTAAAGAATTTTTCCTACAGTATACCCGAAGAGGTCCTCCTTCAGCTTTTGCTTGAAGACCCTTCAGTGAGCAGGAGGTGGATTTTATCAGTCCATTTTAGGTTTCAGGATTCCATGAGATTTATTACCAATTTAGCATTCAGTAACATTCAAGTTAATATTCATGGGGAATTATTCTGAGTGAACTTGAGGAATAACGCTGACTTTTCTTTGCAGCGGTAGCAGTGGAGGAAGTGGAAGTCGAGAAAACAGTGGAGGCAGCAGTATCGGCATCCCCATCGCCGTGCCTACGCCTTCACCACCAACCGTTGGGCCAGGTGTGTTGTCTGTGAAACTTCTGAAAAATCACTCTCTGATGTTTATGTTTGTGGGCATATAATTTAGAAAACTAGTAATTTACGTACAACATTGCCAAAACTGTCTCAGCAACTGACCTTAAATGCTGAATTCATTAGGTTGCTATTTGAGGAAAAATAACAACATCTTTGAAAAAAATTTTAGGTTAATTGGTTTTCTTTCTATCCTACATTCTAGACTTAGTTGTTAGATAGAATATGTGCAGATGATAATAATTGTTTTATTTACATCACAAGGCTATCATGAGGAAAACCCTTTGCAGAATTTAAAAATGCTATGTAAATATCATTATCATCATCTGTATTCTTAAATAATCAAGCATAACCATGTGAAATTTCTTTTGAAGTTCTGATAACTTAGAGCTTAGAAGCTAAGCTTTCTTAGATTTGATTTATTATACATTCTTTCTGACATGAGATAGATACAGTTCTCACTATCACTAGACTGTTCTGTGGTGTAAAATTTTTCTGCATCTTCTTTGGCTCATCTGTAAAATGGAAATAATAATTGCTGTCACATTCCATGAAATAGTGTAGTGAAGATGATGTGAGATGTGCTGGAGAGTAAAAGCCCTAATACTGTATCAAAAGGATGGGGGAATAAATCAGAAGCTATTTGTTACAATGCATTTAAGTTAGCTTAAAAAAGATTTCTTAAAACAAATACATCATATAGGTAAATATATAGGATTTTTAAAAATAGAAAACATTGTAAGAACTAGAAAAGGATCAGCAACCTCTCTGTGATAATTAAGGAAAAATCCTATCGGACACCTTATAAAAGTAAGTATATTTTATAACTCAGAAGAGCATTAACTTAATTTCTTCTTTTTTTAATTATCGAGTTTTTTTCTCATTTGAGGTTGTAAGATCTGCTTATATTTGTCATTATTTTTCTTTTCATATTCTTATTAGCAAATTCTGACTGCTTTACTGTTATCTGACTGTTTAGTTCGCTTGCTTGTTCTCTGATTGGCGTTATGAACTGTTTTATTAGCACAAATTTCTGTCCCTCCTCCCTCTGGAGCTCCTCCTGCACCACCGCTTCCTGCACCTCTCCTGATGGGCAGTAGGATAGGTGAGAATTGGGTCAACCTGCGAGTGATTAGTTACTTTGAATAATTAATAATACTCTATTCCTAATAGACCTATCTGGTTTGATTTTTAAAGATTATATATTGTTGATATAAGTGTGACAGTTTAACATCTCTAATCTAAACTCAAATCTTCTGGTGAAAGGCCTCTGAAGTTATGCAGAAAGCAAGTGTATAAATGAGTCTTGGAGAAAAACTTTCATTGCTTCATTTGGTTTGCGTAGAATATCAAAATCTTTAGGAATAGCTTTTTTAGTGCAACTATTTTAGTCATTCTTGAATATTATATTTTTATCCATATTGTGAAAATGCAGAAAGATCCATGCATATACATATGTATGCATATTCACATGCGCATGCACACACACATATATATTACACACATGTATATGTATATGTATCTTTATTTTGGCTTCAGTGAGCTTACGATCCCTGATAATAGAAGGTGGTGATATTATAAAGGCATTGACTTTTAGCCTGTTTTCTGACACACTGGCATGTTTTGACCTTTAGTTACAAATTAGTTACTTTAGTTAGAAATTAATTGGCTTTTTATAAAATAAATGTATGACATACATTATCTTTAAGAGGGACACCTATAAATGATAGTATGTTGTGTCTGATTTGTTGTAAAGTTCTGAATAACTGATGTAGGTGTAGTCTCATATATTTATTTATTGTTAACATTCCCTCCCTGCTCTCCAAAAAACCCTGTATGTAAAAATCATCACTAGTAGGGTGGGTTAGGTTGGCAGCTGGCATGGACCCAGTAAAGAACATTTTAAAATATTGCTTCTTATAAATGTATCTAATGTCAACAACAGAAAATTTGCCCTCAGTAATATATAGATAGTTTTTGCTAAGTCAAGTTCATATGCTACGAAAACTTCTAGGGACACTAACATATAGGAGAGTTCATTTGCTGTCCTTGCCTAGAGTGCACAAATACTTTATGTGGCCTCTGCTAAAAAAAAAAAATCTGTTGTAACAGTGGTTTTTGCAGAAAAGCACACTCCTGTGGCTTAAATAATAGATCGTTTCTCTATGAAACTAGCACATTCCCTTGTTGTGAACATATAGTTACAAGATAGTAAGCACCTAGAGCCCCTGGAAAGCCAGAAATGGGCAGGTCAGGCCATTGAACTTGGACACTAAAAATGCTCAAGATCAACCCCTGATCCTTAGTGCAAGCTTATTTGTGCTTGTTTTACGTGCAGCTCTCAAACTTACTTGTTTTTTTCAAACCCACTGCATATGAGAAACAGTAAAGTTAGTGAGAGGAGCTATTGGAGGCTGTGCACTCAGAGCAGTAGAAAGTGGCAGCAATTTAACAAGCCCAGAAGTGTGGAGGTCATTTACTTTTAGGGGCCAACAGTCTAGGATTTGGCATACTTCAAAACACTGAGTATCACCACCTTTGTAGCACATTGTCATAATGGGCACTTAGGACAGTGACTCCAGATCATTAGGAAAAAAGTTACTTTATGTTGGGCATACTCTGTTTAAAAAGGTAGGGGGAAATGTTTTCAGCAGTTTAGAATGGAATAGAAACAGATAAAAATCCATGATTTTAAAATTAATTTAATTTGTAAAATTTTATGTGTAGGCCCTTGCGTGTAATAAATGTTAAATAAAAGTTTATTTAATTAAATTGTTTTAAAGAGATGATTCCTGTTGCTTAGGGAAACCCCAAACTGTCTTATATTCTTAATCATTATCTAGCTTTCCAGTTTCATCTCCAGAGTTAAATCATCTGAACTTTGGGACATGTCAGAGAGAAGAAAGGAAAATTAAAGTGAAGGGAACTCCTGTCACTTGACTGACTCTGGTCAAGATTTAGATTTTTGTTTTAAAAGTACAAGTTAATCCAGAAGTTAGCTGTGATAAATTTCAGCGAACTTTAGAGGCTTTGATCCATATTAACTTTGTATTCTCCAGTTGTTAATCAGTGACTTACAAATATTTGTTAGATATAGATATTAAGCATGTAAATAGGATAAACATGTTTTATGCAAAGCTTGTTGTCCCTCTCATCCCTACCCAAGGTAGTGTATCTAAAAATTTGCCAAGAAGCTTTTTAAAAGTTACATAGCTTGCTGAGAATATCCCCATTTTGTCAGAGTAGACATGTTCATCATAAATTTTGCAGGTGCGTAATGTTGAAGGAAAGTATTTCTTTCTATAAAAGTCTCTAAAATATTTTACTACTTGCACATGAGCTGTGTTGATGCAGTCACTGAAATGAATGGAATAGCAAATATGGCTGGCTCATGAGTAAATTGGCTTAGATTTCTGATTTTATAATTAAACACGTATTCATCTAGCTAAATGCTCATGGTTGTGTGTTGAAGGTTTTGATTCTAGACCTTTCCTTTCACAGTGCAGAGGTATGTTTGTTACAGATGAAAAATAATTTTTTCAGATATGAAAACTAACTTTTTTTAAACAGGTTGCTCTTTTCTTCTTGATTTTATTTTGTATTTTATTCCATTACAAAGGAATAGAAAAGACGTACACTGTATGCACAGTTGTAGTGATCATCTTATCTTCTCTTTTCTGCATGCCTCAAGCCTCTCAGTGTAATAAATGACCCCGACATGAGATCTCTTTCTGTATACTGTCATGTGATGTGATATATATTGCTTAAGTCTTTTTTGTTGGTTCCCTTTGACTGATGCTTTTCAGTGGCCCCGAGTTCAGCTCCTGGTTCCCAGTATGGCACAATGAGCAGGCAGATTTCTCGACACAACTCAACTACTTCTTCGGCATCTTCGGGTGGATACAGACGAACTCCTTCTGTGACTGCTCAATTTTCTGCTCAACCTCATGTTAATGGCGGTCCTCTTTATTCTCAAAATTCAAGTAAGCCCCTGTGCTTTTCAGGCATGTAGCATCAGTGGAGCACTTTGGAAGTAAATTATTTGAAACTGTGATTCTTGCCAGTGATAGACAACAATCAAAACCACAGTTTCATGCTAGTTTCTTTGTTTCCTTTAGGAAGTTAGTGTCTTTTGAAGCATGAATAAGACTGAATACTAATCACTTTCTACAATGTATTCTACACCATCTAAAATGCTTAGCATTCTAAATTCAACCGAAGCCATTCTTCATATAGTATTTATTGTCATTGTAAACTAAAAGAAGCAGAAACTAGAAAAAATATTCTTGGAATAAAAGAATTTAAATTTGTGTTTATTGGCTAAATAGTTGTTAAAACTACTTGTGAAAATTGGACATTGCCAAATGTGTGGTATTGTCATTTTCTTTAAAAAATGATAAAGAAATTGCTGGCTATCACTGTTTTAAAGGGTTTCAGGTTGAAAGCGAGCCTCAAATTGGTTGGTAGCAGATTTTTGATAATATTACTGATAATTATTTACCCTTTTATTTGTTTCACTTAAGAAAATAATCCCAGAAACAGAAAGATTTTATTTTTACTTTATTCTGTTCACTCTGATCTTGGCACATCTCAGCACTAACCACTGTAGTGTAAAAGCTACTGATGTTGGCAAAGTTTTAGGGATCATTTGAATTGACAATAGCATAGACATTGGTTTTTGCTTTTTATATTTAACCAAAAAAGAGAAAATCTGAAATGAGAGCCCTTTTACAAGAATGCAATATTGACAAATATAAATCTCAAACTCACCCACACACATCTCCAAATCACCTTCGTGGAGTAATACTTAACTCTAAAGCTGTTCCTAGTTTTAGATAAATTTCTTTAATTAAAAGAAACTACCCTGGATATGCTAATGGAAAGTCTTTTACACTTATTCATAATTTGGGTGTTTCAATTCAAGAATCTGACTGTAACTTATAATACAGAATTTTGATGTAGAAAGTCTTTTAGGTAGTATGTATGCTAGTACTGTTTGTTTGCAGTGAACATCCTAAACATGTATGACATTTTAAGGTAGAAGGTAACTAGGAAGGAAAAAACATCTAATTTTTGTATTTAAAATATCAAAATGAAAGATTTCTAATTGTATCATGGCTAAATCTTTAGGTAGTAGAGAGCATGTATAGTATAGATATCTGATATCCACAGATAATCTGAAAACTGTTTTTAGCCTGTGGGTTTTCTTCTGTATTAAAATTTTTATATGACATGTTATAAAAGGCATCAAAATGGACTAGTTTAAGTGTAGTCCCAAACTGTCTTGCAAACCCTCTGCTGAGGAAGTCTGTCAAAAAGATAGCGGCAGCTAGGTGGCGCAGTGGATAGAGTACCAACCCTGAAGTCAGGAGGACCTGAGTTCAAATCCAGCCTCAGACACGTGACACTTACTAGGTGTGTGATCCTGGGCAAGTCACTTAACCCCAATTGCCTTAAAAAAACAAACAAACAAAGATAAGACAGCTTGGTGTTGATTATTTCATAAACTTTATACATTTTTAATAACTTCTGAAATATTTAGAAATAATTTTGGTATGTTACTAAACAAAAAAAAACTTGTCAATTTGAAATACAGTAAATGTAATAGTATTTACAAACTATTTGCAAATTATTCTCATGCTATTTTATAATTTTAGGTCCCATTCATTATATTGCTATTATTCCTTCCTAAGGCATCTACCTGGTAGCAATTTTTAGCGACTTATTCCATTTTCCATTTAATTTAGTGTAGTAATACTTACTCCTACTGATTCACATGTAGTTTAATTTCCAAAAGGATGAATTCCTTTAAAACATTTTGTCCCAAACAGGGCCTCAAATTTCAGATTATTTCATTATGTGTTGTCAAATGTCTGAATTACTGTTGCTGTCAAAGTAATAGTTTCTAAAGCATTTTTATTTTTATTTTTTAGTGTTTTGATGTGCGTATTTTCCTCCCCCCCTTCAGTTTCTTTTACAAAATTTTTAAAATCTGGTGGTTATGATTAATCTTTTGAAAACAGATTGATTTTAAAAATGTTCCTTTCACAGTAAATACACATTCCCATACTAACCAGCATGGCTAGTACCAAAGTTTGTTTTTTATAAGTTTTGTGTGTGTGTGTGTGTGTGTGTGTGTGTGTGTGTGTGTGTGTTTTTAAATTCAAAGGAATTTTTGTATAAAAAATTGTGACATTTTAATTTGGAACATTTCCATGATCAAAATTAGTTTAATGGCAAATTGAATGCTATATTTATATGTAAAATGAATATTAATGATCTTATATATTGCTTTATTTGTTAAACTATTGCTTCCCTAAAAGCATAAGAACCTCTTTCAGATTTTCCTGTGTACCTGTAAGTTTTTTGACAGACCCTGAAAATTTAATTGTCATTTCAGTGTAAAGGTTATTGGGAGCCACCAGCACACTAGTTTGATACATGTGTGGACGTAGTTACAGATTTATTTGTATCTATGTACACATATTTATTATCTAGTAGTAACTTGGAGGACCAGTTTTTCCTAGAAGATTCTGCATGTTTTCTGATCATGGTATATTGTTGATCAAGGAAAATCTACCCTTTTTTCAGTCAAAAGTGACAAAGTAAAGAGAGAGATTATCATCTGAGTACAAAATTCTATGTAATTTTTTACCTGTTACTTTGAAATTATAATAGTTTCAGGAAAGAATTGGAATTTTTAGTAGTCATCAATTTGTGATTGTTCGTCAGGAATTAGATGTCATTTAATTATCAAAGAACAGCATTGCAAAGTCATTCAAAACATTTAAGGCTAATTAATGATATAAGGAGCAAATTCTGTCTGTTGAGATATAATAAGCAGTAAGCATTAACAGTCAGGTTCCCCTTGCTATTGAAAAACAAATGGTCTACTTTTAAAATAAAGGCTTAGACTTAAATACAAATACACCTTGTTTTACAAAGTTGGAAGTTTTCTTGGAAAGTTGTGTATAAATTATATTTCTATAAAACCAAATTACTTTTTTTTACATGCAGGAGTTTTCTTTAAAAGAAACTGTAAATAATCTATTATGGTAACATATTGATAATTATTCCCCAATTGATCAATGTGTCAGTGCTGTAGTATGAGATAGGAGCCAAGGATGTCAGTTGTGGCTCTGCCACTTGTTAGCCCAGTCATCTTAAGTAAAATTGCTTCATCTCCTTAATCGTCGGTGCCCTCACTTATAAAATGAGGAGGTTGGACTTTACAAGGTCCTTTACAGGTCTTAAAATTATAGGATTTGAAATCTGAATTTTGGCATATTCTTATTTTAAAGCAGAGGACCCGTACCTGTATTTGTTTTCCCTCTGCATGGCAGGGAAGTCCCCTCTTGCAACTTTCATAGTCATTCCTATGAAGGAATAACCCCAGAGATTGTCATTTCATCCATCATTATAAAAAGAAAGTGGTAGTGTTTAGTGTTATTCAGGTTAGACTGTTTCCTTAATTTCAGTTTTGATTCTTTTTAAAAATTATCCTTTGATCAAACCAGTTCAGCTTTAGCTTTGCTTTGGGAAATAATAAACTTGGAGATGCTGTAGGTTTTGTTTCAGTTTTGGTTTTTGTTTTGTTTTTGTTTTGTTTCATTTGCAAACTGTTCTTTGCATACTTATGTTTGTGGTCCTTGTAACTGACTTCTGCTTTTTGTTTGTTTCTTTTTCTTTCCTTTATCTGTTTTACTTCCCCCATACCGTGTTGTTGCTACCAGTTTCTATTGCTCCACCCCCTCCCCCTATGCCTCAGTTGACTCCACAGATACCTCTCACAGGCTTCGTGGCCAGGGTGCAGGAAAACAGTAAGTTTGGACAAACTGAGCTGTCAAAGAATAGAGGCTGTCTCCTTATAGCATGCATGGCTGGCGAGTCAGATTTTTCCTTTCCTTTTTTTTTTTCTTAAAAAGAAAAGCTAATCTTATCTTGAATACAGGTGCAACATGCTATCAAAATTGAAGAGCACGATCTTCAGTTTTTTTCTGTTGTGTGCATGATCACTGACCCATGTAAATCTCCAAATGGATCCTGGAAAAAATGGGTGTCAAAAACACAAGGCATCTGCTCTGTGTCGATTCTCAAGAAATATATATGCAAACATACAAATCCAGACTTTTTGGAAACTCATTTGTCTTTTGATAGGTGTATCTGGGAGTGTTTCTTTTAAGTTATTATGTATTTTGTTGCCACACACAATTTTGTATTTTAGCATCAATGTAAAGATACATGGAGAGTATACATAATGTGTAATTTGAATAAGATTTAAAATTAGGATGGAATTTGACACTTGCCTGTTTTGTACGTTAACCATTTTATGCCTGACATGATAGAGTTGGTCTTCAAAGACAAGTGGATTACTCCATGGTTTACATTTGAAGGGATGGATGATAATAAATTTCTAGGGGCTTCTTTTTGCCTAATGCAGGTGCTTGCAAACAGAAAAGGGATGAGATAATTAATGACTCCTTTAATGATTTGCATTGAGAGGATTAATGAGTTTTGGAAACTACTTTGAGTTTATAGTTTGGGTAAATTTTAGCTAGGTTATACCACTACCTGATTAATTCAGGGAAATACCAGAAATTACTTGATTTTTCACTACAAAATAGGTTTCCTTTCTTGGGAAGTCTGAATAATGTTTAGCAAGCATGATTTTATCTCGGTAAACTAGTCTAAATGACAATGGGCAAGTAGGAGGATGAGGTCAAGTAGTTTTAATTTATGAACTCCTTGAGTGTAGAGTAATGTGTCTTATTCCATCTTTCAGTATCTTTCACACAGTATTAGTCACTCTGTGCACACAATAGTGACTTGATTTAAAACATTTTTTTAAACGAAATTTAGAGTCTGATATAATTCTCAGGGAGTGATTTGAGCAAGTATCCTCACATAAGTATCCTCACATAGTCAACCTATCCACCAGTAGAAAACATTGTCGGAAATTCTATTTGCAATTTATTCTGACCCTTTTGAGAATATAACAGAGTAACTTTTCATTCAGCCAACAGACATTTATTGAGTTACTCCTGCATACAAAGCATTGTACTTATACTGTGCGATGTACCAAGGGTATGTGATATTGCTCTGGCTCTCTAGGAGCATAGACTAAAATTGATTAGTGGTTTCTTTTTTCCCCAA